TGCTGTCTCAGCATCATATAGAACTGTTTCTCTGATCTTATCTTTTTGGGGCTCTCTATTCCTCTCTTTCTGGGGCTCTCTTTTCTTTCTTCGGCTCTCGTTTCTATCTCAAATTTTTCTTTTTAAATTATGTTTTCAATTATGTTATTATTATGTTATTTCCTTTTTAATATGTATTCTTAATATTTATTTATGTTGTTTCTTTCTAATTCTGTATTTAATTATGTGTTTAATTATGTGTTTATGTTTTTAATTCTATTTATTTTCTGTTTATATTATATATATATCGTTTTCTGTTTTATATATTCTTTTGTTCTTTTATTTCCTCTTTATCTTTTTCTTTTACAGGATAGGTCATCGAGGGATAGGTTCATCTGTGGACGGATGCATCGTCGCCTGGCTGGATTCATTCTCGATTTTTACGCGTAAATACGGGAAGGATAGGAAGAACACTGGCGCGCGTGTCGGCGGGCACAGGCGTTGGTGTTCTCGGGCGCGATTAAACTTCGTTTGATTGTTCGAATCGAAAACGCGAATTGTAGAGTAGAGCCATCGTTTTTCTAACACTCGCGTGGGTGTTCGGGCGCGATTAAAGGTCCTACCGTGGACTTCGTTTGATTTCTTCAAAATTCCGATGGGGGTACTTCGCGAATTTCGGCCTAACAGTAGAATCTACGTAATTATAACACACACGTGAGTGTCGCGACGCGATTAGTATTCTAAGGAGTGCGCTTTGATTGTTCGAAATTCGGAAAGCACGATTCGAATGTGCTTAATAATCCGTTATGTCTGAAGCGGACGGTGCAAATGGTGGAGCTATCTGTAAGAGGTGTGTAGTAGCAAAGCTACGCATACCCTGTTAGTTAAGAAGCCAGTGCATTGAAGCGGAAAGGTATAGCGGATCGGTATCGCGGAACGCGGATTTTAGAGTAGAGTCACCGTCAGTCCGTGGGTCTCCACATGCAGCAACTTCCACGTAGTGAGACCTGGGTCGGTATTACTTGCATATCCTAATTATAAATTGATTAACGCAAGTATTACTGAGCGAATGGCTGCATATTGTATTACTTTTCCAATATCTTTTTAATCTAATTCCAATTGAACATTAATATTTTTCCATTTTATGTCGTTAATAATACTTCAAAAGAAGAAATTTATCAAGAATATATTTTACAATAATTTCTTAGACAAACGAAAAGGAAATTTTTCTAACTCTCTTTTACGACCGCTGTCATTTCTATTTATTCTTATTTACTCTCATTAATTATCCTTTGTGTATTTCGGGTGGGACCCATGGGATGGGGACATGGGTGTGGGCCTCTGTGCGGGTTGCTGTCTCAGCATCATATAGAACTTTTTCTCTTGTCTTATCTTTTTGGGTCTCTCTTTTCTATTTCATATTTTTCATTCTTATTTACTCTTATTAATTATGATTTATTAGTCTCGGGTGGGACCCATGGGATGGGGACATGGGTGTGGGCCTCTGTGCGGGTTGCTGTCTTAGCATCGAGTAGATTTACTTCTACTTTCTTTTCTGTCTGCAGCTTTCTTTGTATCTCATATTCTTCTTCTTTAATTATGTTTTTAATAATGTCATTAATATGTTATTTCTTTTCATTATGTCTTTCCAGATTTTTATTATGTTATTTCTTTTTAATTATGCTTTTATGTTTTCAGTTATGTTATTAACATATTTTTATTAATTGTAACTTATAAACATTAGGTTGGACCCATGAGATGAAGCGGACTGTTGTTTCAGCAGCATGCAGAGCTATTTCTATTTTTTTATCTTTCAGCAGCTCTCTTTTATTATTCATATTTTTCTTGTTTAATTATGTTTTTAATTATGTCATTAATATGTTATTTCTTTTCATTATGTCTTTTCAGATCTTTATTATGTACTTTTTAATTATGTTTCTTTAATATTTATTTGTTATTTCGTTTTAATTATGTTTTTATGTTTTTATGTTTTTAGTTAATATATTCTAATTAATTTTTATTTTTAAGCATTAGGTAAGTCCCATGAGATGAAGCGGACTGTTGTTTCAGCAGCGTGCAGAGCTACTTCTATTTTTTTATTTTTCTTTTATTCATCTTCTTTTTTTCTTTTTCAGGGATGATCGAGCAATCATGCATCGATATTCAATATGTCTTTTCTTTTCTTTTTTTTATTTTCTCCTTAGCTTCTTTTTTTTCAGGATAGATCGTCAAGGGATAGGTTCACCTCTGGTCTAATGTGTCATCGCCTGGCTGGATTCATCATCGATTTTTACACGCGTATACGGGCAGGATAGGAGAACACTCGCACATGTGTCGGCGTACACAGGCGTGGGTGTTCGCGGGCGCGATTAAACTTCGTTTGATAGCTCGTATCGAAAACGCGAATTTAGAGTAGATTCATCGTTTTTCTAACACTCACGTGAATGAACGCGGGCGCGACTTAAAAGTCCTACCGGGGACTTCGTTTAAATTTTTGCTCGAATATTCGATTAGATTACCTCGCGAACGCGTTTTTTTAGAGTAGAGTCACCGTTTTCCGAGCACTTGCGTGGGTGTCCGGGCGCGATTAAAAGTCCTACCATGGACTTCGTTTAGTGTTGAAATTCGGGGTGCGCGAACGGTTTACCTTGTAGTGCTGTACATAGCTGGCTGATGTTATGACAATCCTAATGTTTGGTAGCGGGGCGGAAATCCCGACAAATATCATGGAAAGTCTAAATACCGGTTAGCATATGTCACTTTGGATTTCAACTTAGAGTCACCGTTATTCTAACACTCACGTGAGTGTTCGCGTGCGCGATTAAAAGTCCTACCGGGGACTTCGTTTTGTTTGTTCGAATATTCGATTAGTTTATTTAGAGTAGAGTCACCGTTTTTCGAACACTTGCGTGGGTGTCCGGGCGCGATTAAAAGTCCTATCATGGACTTCGTTTTAGTGTTGAAATTTGGGGTGCGCTTCGGATTTCAACTTAGAGTCACCGTTATTCTAACACTCACGTAAGAGTTCGCTTGCGCGATTGAAAGTCCTACCGGGGACTTCGTTTTATTTCTTCGACATATCGATTAGATTACTTCGCGAATTTGGATAGAACAGTAGAATCTACGTAATTATAACACACGTGAGTTTCGTGAACGCGATTAATGCGCTTTGATTGTTCGAAATTCGGATGCACGAATTCAGATGTGCTTAATAATCCGTTATGCCTGAGGCGGAGGGTGTCGAACGGTTAAGCTTTCTGTAAGTGGAGTCCCTGTAGCTAAGGCTAGATACTTCCTGTTAGCTTTGTCCCATGCCCAAGATATCCGAAGCGGAAGGCATGAGGGATCGGTATCGCGGTACGCGGATTTTAGAGTAAAGTAGAGTCACCGTTAGCTCGTGGGTCTCCACATGCAGCAACCTCCACGTGGTGAGACCTGGGTCGGTATTACTTGCGTACACTAATTATAAATTCATTAACGCAAGTATTACTGAGCGAATGGCTGCATATTGTATTACTTTTCCAATATCTTTTTAATCTAATTCCAATTGAACATTAATATTTTTCCATTTTATGTCTTTAATAATACTTCAAAAGAAGAAATTTATCAAGAATATATTGTACAATAATTTCTTAGACAAACGAAAAGGAAATTTTTCTATCTCTCTTTTACGACCGCTGTCATTTCTATTTATTCTTATTTACTCTCATTAATTATTCTTTGTGTATTTCGGGTGGGACCCATGGGAGGGGCCTGTGGGGGAGGGCTTCTGTGCGGGTTGCTGTCTCAGCATCATATAGAACTTTTTCTCTTGTCTTATCTTTTTGGGTCTCTCTATTCTTCTCTTTCTGGGGCTCTCTTTTCTTTCTCCGGCTCTCGTTTCTATCTCATATTTTTCTTTTTAAATTATGTTTTCAATTACGTTATTATTGTGTTGTCCTTTTAATTATGTTTTCTTAATATTTATTTATGTTGTTTCTTTCTAATTATGTATTTAATTATGTGTTTAATTATGTGCTTATGTTTTTAATTATGTTTTTAATATATTTTTATTAATTATGATTTATAACCTTTAGGTAGGTCTCATGGGATGGTGCATGCTGCTTCTCTTTTCGTTTCTTTTTCTAAATCTCTTATCTATTTATATATATTTTCTATTTGTATTTTATATATATGTATATATATTATTTTCTGTTTTATGTATTTTTTTGTTTTTTTTATTTTCTCTTTAGCCTTTTCTTTTCCAGGATAGATCATCGAGGGATATGTTCATCACCGGACGGATTCGTCGTCGCATGACGAGATTCATCATCGATTTCTACGCGCGAATACGGGAAGGATAGGAAGAACATTAGCGCGCGTGTCGGCGGGCACAGGCGTTAGTGTTCTCGGGCGCGATTAAACTTCGTTTGATTGTTCGAAACGAAAACGCGAATAGTAGAGTAGAGTCATCGTTTTTCTAACATTCGCGTGGGTGTTCGGTCGCGATTAAAGGTCCTACCGTGGACTTCGTTTGATTTCTTCAAAATTCCGATGGGGGTACTTCGCGAATTTCGGCTTAACAGTAGAATCTACGTAATTATAACACACACGTGAGTGTCGCGACGCGATTAGTATTCTAAGGAGTGCGCTTTGATTGTTCGAAATTCGGAAAGCACGATTCGAATGTGCTTAATAATCCGTTATGTCTGAAGCGGACGGTGCAAATGGTGGAGCTATCTGTAAGAGGTGTGTAGTAGCAAAGCTACGCATACCCTGTTAGTTAAGAAGCCAGTGCATTGAAGCGGAAAGGTATAGCGGATCGGTATCGCGGAACGCGGATTTTAGAGTAGAGTCACCGTTAGCTCGTGGGTCTCCACATGCAGCAACTTCCACGTAGTGAGACCTGGGTCGGTATTACTTGCGTACACTAATTATAAATTCATTAACGCAAGTATTACTGAGCGAATGGCTGCATATTTCAATTCTTTTCCAAAATCTTTTCTTTCTAATTCTAACTAAACGTTAAAGAAGTACTCACATTTTACATTCTTAATTGTACTTGTTTAAATTATATTTTTATAAATTATGTACAGACGTGGAGAGTAAACTACTTCATTTATTTTTATTAATATTGTCCTATTTTTTTTTTATAGGTAGTAATTGTGTGTAATTGATCGGTGGGTCCCTTGATATCCTTGCATTTTATTATTTCTATCGAGAAATTATCCTCATAATATTTTCAATCCATCCACTCCATGATGTATTGACACTTCGTAGGTGTAACATCTCCTATATCGCAACAATTTTTTCTGACCTACATTACACACAAGCGTATTAATGTAAAATACATCGCAATAGTTAATGAAAAATTAAAAAGAATATAAAATTTACAGGACAAACTCCACAAGGGACTTTAATTAGCCCTGGAGAAGTTAATAAAGGTTGTACGGATCTATATAAATTGCTTCCATCACTGGATAATGTTTTTTCTACTTTTCCATCGTATATCAAAGTGTTTAAAATCATTTCCAAATCCTCAACCGACAATTTTACCTATAAATATATTTGATTAATATTGATACCAGGATATAGTTTATTGTATAATAATAACAAATGAAAACCTTGCTTATTCCTAAATCTGAAATAAATTTCCAAACTTCTTTAGATGAGGCGAATGCTATATTTCTAGCATCTATAGGTCCGCCGTCCCATTTATTCGCTTCTTCTCTTTTTTGTTCCAAAAATCGAAAACACTGTTGGTTAAGAATATCTACAAACTCTGCTTCGAAATCTTGATCTTGATACCATGCACCACCAGTAACAGATCTATCCGGTTCTAAGTTATAAAGCATGTATACTTTTTTTTTACTAGCTGCTACAGATTTCACCGCTTTAATAAACTTTTTGGTTTCCAAACTTTTGAGAATTTTATTCAATTGAATAGGCATTAGATTAGATTTAAATCTTATGTCTCTAATCCATATTCCTTTATTCCCAGCTTCTTCAATTATACTATATACAATTTTCTCTTCATTATCAGCACCCTTAGCAATTTTTGTTTTAGACGGATCTTTTAACCGATAAAGTAATGATCCACCATGTTTAAACAAATCGAAATATCCTTGAGATAATAACTTATTTATAATCTGTGCTCTTTGGGCTGGTTGTATATTTGGAATTTCACTCACCAAATCTTTGTCAGATATTCCTTTTGGTCTTGCTTGTGCCAAAGCAATTATTCTGTAAATATTATAAAAATATAAAAAAAAAAAAAAATATATATATATATAATACATTAAGATTATTTAAAGTTCGAAAAATTTATGCCATACGTCATATTATTCAATACAAGCTCTCTTCACCTTTCAGTTACATTTCTAACCTAATAAACAAAGTCAATCGAGTAAAAGTCATAGGATGTATTTAAATATGTAATATAAACATACTTTTGTTCTATTGTATCAAGACCATTAGGATCATTAGATGTACTCTTGTCTCGTTCTTCTGATGTACTTGTTTCGGTTTCCATTTGATCTTCTTGTTAATAATATTCAAAAAACGTGAACTGATACAATACTTATGAATTAAAACTTATATGATACTTTTCAAACGAATAATAAATATATAATAATTTTTGTCAAATCATTAATTAATCATTAATTAAATAATTCGAGAATATCATATAAAATGGAAGATCCTTTGAATACTGTGATAGATTCTTTAAACAAACAAGCACTGGAAGATGAAGATCTCTTTATAGGTTATAAGAACTGGGATCGACTTATCACTGCAGCTTCTACTGTAAGTTTTTAATGTAAATAATTATTTTTATTATTTTATATTTTTGAAATCAAAATCAATAATTTTACAAATTATTTCTTTTCTTCCAGATTGGTTATAAAGAAGGCATAGAAGATGGACAAGAATCGGTATTTCAAGAAGGATTTGATATGGGCTATAAAGATGCTTTCAATACAGCATTTATGTTAGGAAAATATAAAGGTCTAATTAGTTCTATGCAACAAAATATGGAACTATCGTCGGTTGTAAATGATATACTTCATGAAACTAAAAAGGGTATATGTTATATATGCAACGAAGAATCGCAAAATAAAGATGATAATGGACAAATAGAAGACATGCCATTTATAAACATTATAGAGAAGCAAAAAACATATTCTAAGAATATTATCAAGACATTACATAAAAATCTTGAGTTGATCATGGTAAAAAATAATATCGATATCCACAAATTACCAACGAATATATGATTTTATATTTATATTTTAAAGAATTATAGGAATAAATATTGTACGATATTGTTTTTTGTTAATAAGTTTGTATTGACACGAATGATGTTCTTATATTAGCAGTAAATAAAGAGTAAGATAAAGTGTAAATAATTTCTTGTTTATAAGTATAATCCTTCCGGTGATCCTTCCTTTTTACGATACAAAACACTTTCTTTAGATTTTTTAAAATCATCACTAGTAACTTTCATACGACGTTCACGTAATGCCATTAAACCAGCTTCAGTACATATAGCCTAAAAAGAAATCGTTTGTAATTAACAATACTGTGTTAAATAGAGTATTATACATAAATATATTATACCTTTATATCTGCACCAGACAAATCATCCTTTGCCATAATTAATTCTGCTAAATTTACGTCTGGTGCTAAGGTCATTCTACTAGTATGAATACTGAAAATCCTTCTTTTAGTTTTTTCATCCGGTAATGGAAATTCTATTTTTCTATCAATACGTCCTGGTCTTATCAATGCTGGATCTAATGTCTCTATTCTATTGGTAGCCATAACAACTTTTACATCTCCCCTACTATCGAAACCTAGTTTATATCAAAGGAACATTACATAAATATTATGAGAAATATTGAACGGCAATAACAATTAAATTACATTAATGTAATGATTACCATCAAGTTGATTTAAGAGTTCTAACATAGTCCTTTGAATTTCTCTTTCCCCACCACTATTACTATCATATCTTTTTGTTCCTACTGCATCAATTTCATCTATAAAAACTATGGATGGAGCATGTTCCTCTGCAACTCTAAATAATTCCCTTACAAGTTTGGGACCATCACCCAAATATTTTTGTATCAGTTCAGAACCAACAACTCTAAGAAAAGTTGCAGATGTTTGATTAGCTACAGCTTTTGCCAGAAGTGTTTTACCCGTCCCAGGTGGTCCATATAGTATAACTCCTTTAGGAGGTTTAATGCCCATCTCTTCATAATATTCTGGATGAGTTAATGGTAATTCTACAGATTCTTTAATTTCTTGAATTTGAGTATCAAGTCCTAAAATATTTTAAGATAGAAAAATATTTTTTATGTCACATTTTTATGATACAATATTATAGAAAAATATATATAAGCTTTTTTGAATGATTCAAAATCGATTATATACCTCCAATATCCGCATATGTTTCTTGCGGAGCTTTTTCTAATTTCATTACTGTAACCATAGGATCTGTATCATCACCTAATACCCCTACTACAGCATGAACTTTGTGATTCAATAATACGGAACAACCAGGTTCTAATTGATCTTTATCGACAAATGATAAAATCGATACATAATGTTCCGATCCAACAGAAGTAGATACTATAGCATGATTATCATCGATGATTTCTTCTAATGTTCCAACGGACATTGGTGTTCCACGAAGATCATCCACTTTTGATCTTTCTTCTTCATTCTTTTCTTCCTGTGGCTTTAGACGTTCTTGATTCCTAATAAATTCTTCTTCCATAAGCAAATAATCTTTTATACGTTCAAGCTTTAAAAGTTTCAATCTGCAACGCGTATGAGGTGTTACTTGAGGTAATTTTAAAGCTGCATCTGGACCTTTAGTACGTCTCTTCTTTTTTCCTACTCTCGTAGGTATAGGTGGTTCATATTTCTTCTTTTTATCTTTATCATCTTTTTTGTCTCCACCTGTACCACCACTACCAGATTGATTTTGTCCCTTGATAGAAAACATATCATTATCGTATTAAAGTATTTATTATTCGAGGATTACAAATATTTCTAATATGTGACACATTAATATGTTTTATTCGTGTCATCAATTCTTACAATTAACCTAAAAATTTTTATAATGCTATATATTTCTATAAATTAGAATACGTACACGTAGAAAATATTTCTATCGTTTAAATTATATCCTATTTATATAAAGTTATACTATTTTTCACGTTAATAATCACAATTTTGACAACTTACCATTTTTAATCAACCACACAACACTATGAGAAACGGCGAAGTCATTCATAGAAATCGCGTTTACAGAAAACGACTGTATTACGTACTGAATGAATCGTTTACAATAGGTTGTGCTGCGATTGGTCGAATTCAGACCAATCAAAATTGGTAAATTAAATAACTTCAATTAGTCTTATTTATTTAATACCAATATTATTAGTTCGTGTAATACGCATTTCACTTTGTCGAATTGTTAAATAATTGATAATAAAACGTAAGTGAACAAATATATATTAATATTATATTATTATTTAGTTGTATCTCATATGAAATATATATTGTCTTAAAGGGAATTATTTTAATTTGTGAAACATTTCAAAAAATTAATCTTTTGCTTGTGTTTATTTCAAGTGCAAAAAATTGTGTCGTATACATATAAATGTGTGCGGGTATATACGTCACGATATACGTCGTGAATGCAAAATTGAAAATATTTTTCTTATAAAGTATATATATATATATATATATTATATATATGTATATATATAAAATTCTTTTAATGGTATATTTTTGTTTTATTAACAATACTAACGACTGGTAGTAAATCACTGAGATTTTATTGTAGCATTTACATACATCTATTTTCAATAGAGTATTCTCTAACTCTTGCTGATCATCACTCCTCTGACACCTCATAAATAAATCTTTGTTCTCATAGTGGAGTTAATAAAACCCAAAATAAATAGCAGATGATTTCCCTAAAACAATTTAATTTAATTACATTATGTATGTGTGCGCATATATATATATATATATGTATATACACACACACATATACATGTATAGACTAAATATTAAAAATTCCAGGATTTGACAAACTTAATATATACAATTGTGTTGTAAATAATTGTATAATTACAAGAATGATATAGTTTTGGTCATTCATTTATAAAATAGGAAACTGTCCTTATGATTATTGGAATATGTAGTCGTGCAATTAACTTCAAACTTGGAATAACGAGCAATAATTACTCGACATAGTTTTTAGTTATTCAATGTATAAAATATTTATAAGTTTATACTAAAATAATATTTATGTTGAAACACATTAAAAAGGATTAAAGTTTATAACTGATATTAAATGGACAGTATATAATTTATACTTTGCTTTTAAATTAAAAGTATGATACATTAAAAGACCAGGTATATGCGAGAAATAAATCTGATTAAATTAATATAAGTACAGATTTCGAATTTATGTATGTATAACGCGATGTCCTTGTGATGTACTAAAATTGCTTTGTATTCTATTTTAGACGTCTGTCTTACTTCCTTTTAATCTCAGTCATCACAACTTTACTGGTATATATCATATCTTCCAAATGAATAAAATATAATACAATAGAGCAGCGTACACAGAGAGATGTACAAAATATCCCATAAAGGGATAAGAGGTGTGTTTAAAGTGATTGAATAAGAAAGAATGTTATCGTTCTGTCTAAAGACCAGCTAGTATTATTCTTGGATCTTCTATTGCATCTTTAATTTTTCTCAAAAACATCACAGCTTCGCGACCATCAATTAATCGATGATCATATGTTAAAGCTACATACATCATTGGTCGGATGACAACCTGTAAAATTTATTGTATTTTTTCTTTTTTTTCTTTTATAAGTAGAAATTATATCGACTAAACGAAGAATCAAATATTTACCTGTCCTTTAACTGCAATAGGTCTATCAAAAACACCATGCATTCCTAAAATAGCACTTTGTGGTGGATTTATTATAGGAGTTCCCAAAAGAGAACCAAATACACCACCATTACTTATTGTAAAAGTACCGCCATCCATATCTTCTACGGATATTTTTCCTTTTCTAGCTTTATCTCCTAATGCAGCTAAAGCAATTTCTATATCGGCAAAATTTTTATTTTCCACACTACGTATAACAGGAACAACAAGACCTTTTGGTGTAGCTACTGCAACGCTAATATCAACGTAATCTCTGTATACTATATCGGTGCCATCGATAACTGCATTAACAACAGGTTGATCTTTGAGGGCATAAGAACTCGCCGCAATAAATGGACTCATGAATCCTAACTTGATACCGTATTTCTTCGTGAAATTATCTTGATGAGTTTTACGGAATTCCATAATTCGACTGGAAAAAAAAAAAATTATCAATAAAAGTACCAATACATTTACGGATTTTATCTTGATAAATTCAACGGTATAATAAAATTAGAAATAACCTCATATCAATTTCATTGAACGTCGTTAACATGGCATTCGTATTTTGTGCATCTTTTAATCTTTCCGCTATACGTAAACGCATTCTATTCATTTTAACTCTTTGCTCTGTTCTTGTACCAATTATTTCACGCGTATAATCTGCTGGTGGTAACTGAACTTTTGCTCCTTCCAATGACTAAAAAATATGATTTTTTAAATAAGAAATTACTTAAATATATATAATTTTTTCTCACCTGTGCATGTTTGATGGCAGCAACTGGAATAGATGCAATAGGTGGTTGGGGAGGTGGAGGTTTAGCACTAGGCGGTGGTACAGCAGATGGAGTTACTGGTGGAGGCGGTGGTGGTGGAGCTGCAGCTGCAGGAGGTGGAGGCGGTGGAGGTGCAGCTGTAGGAGGTGGAGGAGGTGGTGGTGCAGCTTCTGCAGGTTTTGCCTTTGATACATCTACAGCTACACCGTCAGTAGCGCCGATATCGATGGTACATAATTTTTGCCCTGGTTTTACAGTATCACCATCTTTAGTATAGATCTCTCTTATAACACCTGGTCCAGGTGAAGGAACAGGAACTGAAGTCTGAAATATATTAATATAATAATTAAATAATTTATTATAAAAAACTTTATGGTAAGTTTACCTTGTCAGTTTCAATTTCACATAAGACATCATCTTCCTTCACTAGATCACCAACTTTTTTTTCCCACCTCACATCTCCCTCACTAACACTTTCTGCAAATGCTGGTACTACAACTTCTTTTATCTCCCCTATTATAAATTAAAGTATTATAACAATATTTTGTATTGATCTTTATATAAAATATTTTGATCGAATAATATTTTATATAAATTACTTTAATTTATTATACTAGAAAGTATAATTAATATTTGCTTACACAATGCAGGTGTGGAACGTAAATGTCTAGCTGAGATTTTCCATCGATGAGTCGTGCTATTTTTAGAATATCTAGATAACAATATTAAAAAGGAATAATTTCTAATCTAAAAAGTCTGTAGATAAATATGCTATCATACATACTAATTGAAAATTAAATACATTGAAATAATGTAGATACACATATAGATTCTTTTTATAAATAGATTATTTTACTTACAATGAAGTTGTGACATCCACATGTTTGGTATGGATATATAATACACGTCCTACAAAAATGATTTTATGTAATTAATAGGTTATGTATTCATAATTATCCTTAATGTCATCTAATGGCACTCTATAAAGATAATATTTTTTAGAACTGGCTATATCACATCACTTTCTTAACATATATTGTCCCTAATAATGATTAACCTTACCTTCTTTTTGTAAGGATCTCACAACCTGCAAAAAAAGTGATGTGGAATTGTAACTTTGCTCATCTATCATGAAATTAATTGATTTATGTATCATTAATAATTAGTAAAATAATTCTATACAAAAATATGATATTAATGATTGATTAGCCCAGTGACAATATTATCATTTAAATAAAATGCATTGCATATAATAAAAAAGACACAAATAAGTATTGCTCTTGAATAAAAGTAAAATATTTTATTCATTAAATTTACTAAGATTATTAAAAAGATATTAATTAGAAAATTTACAAATGAATGAATATATATATATATATACATACATACATACATACATATATATATATAAAATATGTGCGTGTAGAATTACAATGATTTTTTAACGAATTAATAAGATAAGAATAAAATTAAAAAAGAACTACATTTTTCTGTTATATAACAATAAAGAATAGGTGAAAGAGTGGTGTAATTTCGACATCTCAAGTTTCCTTATCAAAATTATTTCAAAGAACATTGGAAATTTAATTGTACGAATTCATATATTACCATAGAAATAACGTCGTCACTAAAATCAGTGACCGTAACGACATTTACCTTATTTTGTAATATAGAAATTCGTGATATCACACGAGGCGCATACCGCGAACAGTTGGACAACATCGCGGCCATTCTCAGATAGAAAATTATACTCGGGTGTACGTCTTGTGATGGTAGCACAAGCACATCGAAAAAGCTGGGAAATCAAATGTCTAGAGAGAAATATTTGGAGTTTGCGTAGTAATACTAAAGGTTGATTGGTTGATTTTGTTCGTGTGCTAAATTTAAAAAAATTCACTTCAACGTTATTGCGTAAAAATGGTGCACTTTGATGCTTCTAAAAAATATGAATATATATATATATCAATTTTTTATTGTAATCTTTCTTTATTTTTAATAAATTGTTTTAATTACGTTCTTTTTCTTGCATTTGCAGTATTTTATATATATATATATATATATAGTGAAATTGCAGTGTGATAATAGATTAAATAATTCATCAAAATGATACATATAAATTAAATATATACACTCTCTCTCTGTGTATATAATACATGTGTGTATATATATATATATATATATATATATATATATATATATATCTATAATTTAGTTACATTTTTTTTGTAGGAGGTGATCTTCAAATTAAATATATTGCATATCTGATAGTAATGCGAAAGAAAATCAATTTATAAATGCAATATATTATTAATCTGATCCTATATTTGTCTTTGAATAGGTACATGCTACAGTATGAAAGTCTATTTACATATATATATATATATATATTATTTAAAATATTCTCTGTACATAAAATACATGAAATACAAGTTCATACAATTTTTTAATTATCTGTCTATATTTTGTTCAAATTCTTCTTTTTTCCTTTTCTTAAGTTACTTTGATGTTAATGAAGAGATTTGATATATTCATCATATGCTGTTTCACAAACTGTTCTATAATTTCTAATAAATTATAAGTCTAATAAAAAAAAAATTAAAAAAAAATAAAGAAAACCAAACACGCGTAAAGATATATGATAATGA